TATGATCTTGGTTTGTTAAGAACCAGCTCTCTTCTCTTCAAGTCTTTGAACCGCTATACTGCCTTTAACTCGCTTCTCTTGATCTCCAATCTTGCACTTCTCGAATTTCTTTGAGGCTCTCATAGTCTCCTTTACCCTTTAAACAAGTGATAAAGAAGAGTGTATAAGTATATGCTATGAGGAATATCAAAGAAAATTTTTAAGAATGTGACAAGTCTAAGAGAAACATATTCGAGCATAAAGACTAGCAATTGAACTACGGTAATGAATTTAAATAGAGTAGAGTTTTAGAGCACAGCCTTTGGTTTGAATCGCCATTCTTGATGATGGCTTCTTTTCTTTATCCCTTGAGAGAACTTCTTCAATGTGAATTGAAGAGGACTTTTGGATTCATCATGATTTTAAATGCTTTGAACATTTCGTTCAAAGACATCCCATGGTTCTCTTCCCCCTTCTTTCCTCCGTGAGTCTCTTCTTCAAGGGCTTTGATTTTGTGGTCGCCATTTCTTCTTGGAATTCTCTCAAGAAGAGATGGAAGGCATAAGCTTGAGAATAAGAGACAAAAAATGAAAGTGTATGTTACCAAGAATAAGAGAATAAAGAGTATAAAGAGTATGGACTCAAGAGTGCCAATGGACAAAGTTCTTAGCTTTGTTTTCTTGAGTTGAGGTTGAGAGTATGTGGGGTTTAGTAACCAGAATGGGCATGAGAATTGAAGCCGCTCCCTTTCTTCAACACGGGTAGCCATTATTTTCTACTCCGGGTTCTTCAAGGTCTAACTCCAAGACGCCATGATACTTCCAACGAGTACCAATCATGTTGTCTACTTCGTGGACTCCATGGCTACTCCAAACTGAACTTTTGTTGCGGTTTGAGCTCTCTTCTTGAGGTCTCTAGATCGCTTCTTAGAACATGTTAAACCATGATGGTTTTAACCCTTTTCGAGCCTTGAAACCTTGTACATCAATGACTTTGAAGTCTTGTGCACATTCAAACTTGGGCTCCATGACTTTGACACTTGAATGCGTGAGTTTGATTCAGCATTCTCACCAGATTTCTTCTCTAATTTGATCGTCCACCAATGTCACTTCCTCTCTAACAACCACTTGAGTTCGCTGGCCAGATTTCTTCTTCGGGTTGTCTTGAGTTTTGACTTGGTTGGATCGTCTAAATGGGCTTCAAATATAACCGGCTCTACTCTTCACTTTCTTAGTCCTTCATGACTGGTTCTGAATCCTTTCCATGTCAAATTTTACTTCCTTGAGGCTCTCATTGGTCTCTTTGAGGCTCTTATGGTCTCCTTCACCCTTAAACAAGAGATAAAGAAGAAAAGATTAAGTTTTGCCATAAGGAATATCAAAGAGAATATCAAATGAGGAATATCAAGACTATTAAGCAACAATTAGGATTTCATGAATATATTAAGCTGTGAATTCTAAGGCAATGGTTTAATGAAGAATATCATGAAATGAGAGTAGAGTTTAGGAACAGCCTTTATTCGAAGAAGGCTTGAACTTGTGCGGTTTGTTCGCCTAATGGACTTCAAGTCTGATGGTGAATGGTTCTAACCCTCCCGCAAACTTAAAGTGTCCAGATTATCCAGCCCTTAATCTCTAACAAATGCATTCGCCTTCTCTTCATGAAACAAGCGATTTCTTGCAAAATAGATTAGAGTTAATGGGCAACAAAGACAAAGTTGGTGAAAGATTAGTGTAGAATGGACAGAAATAAAGGAGAATAATAGTATAAAGACAATAAAGAAGAATGGAGAATAGAGAGTTATGCGGAAGCTTTAACAACCAAGGCATCCAATAATCATCAAGAGTTTGGTGCTTTAATGGTTGAAACAATATGGACCGTTGGGCAATTCATTTACCCACCGGTTTAAGACATAAACACACCGAAACAACTCATGACCAAGAGTTTTCCGGTGACTTTAAGGAACTATGAACCACGAAATACCATATTGAAGATGGTTTCCGTGGCCTAGTTTTAAAGAAACCATTGGAACAAAACAGTTTGTCCAATGGAATCATCAATTTCTCTTCACATGCTTGGTCTAAGAACTTTAACAAGACCAGAATCCAAGCTTTTCTCAACATTGAGCTGCTAGAGAAATGATTTTAACAATAAAAGCTGAAACTTTAAAGAATCTAGTCTAAAGCTGAAACCTTTAAAGAAGCTAAGCAATTTAACAACTAAGAGAAATTTAGAAATAACTTGAGAACGATTTTAAGAGTTCCAAGAGAGCAACCCGCTCTGATACCATGTTGGATTTGAAGAGACTAAGCTCATAAGAAAGAGTAAACAATCACTTGGTGATTGAATCTCAGTTTATCCACACAAAGGGAACTCATTCTCAAGAGGAAGAAACCATCAACTTGTGATGGAATCCACACCAATATAGCTTGATAGAACCGAAATCTCTATGGAGAGAATCGATCCTAGCAAGACAACTATCTCTAGTATGAAGCTAGATTCGTGAGAAGTAACACAACACTAAAGGTTTGTGTACTTAGAGAGAAACGAATCTATGAATCATTTAGCTAGAGTAAACAACATAAATAAGAGATTAAGAAGAGTTTAAGGTGTATTTAAGAGTAGTATGACAAGCAATAGGCTGCTTAGAGGCAGCCCTAAATCGTGTAACACTATCTCTCTACATTGTAACACTTTGGTTGAACACAAGTAAAGAAGAGAGAGCTACACGAAATTGATAAGAGCTTGTCTTTTCTTATTGATGTGTTAACATTTACAATGAGATTACAAGGCTTTATATAGAAGGAGAACTAGGTTAAGATGTCTCACAATCCCCTTTAATCCTAGCCCTTCTTTTCTCTCTTTAAATCTCCACCATTCAATTCAAATAGCTTCTAGAAGGAGTCCAACGGTCATGTTGACCCAAAAGCAAGTCCAAGTGGCGTCATAAAGCAAGGCATAAAGCAACTCTTGTCTTCTTCCTCCTTTTGAACTTGCAACGGCTATATGGAAGGCTCGGGAAGGATCCGGAGGCTTCTAGATGTTTTGGAAGCTTTGGATGACTCTTAGAAGACTCTTAGAAGGCTTGAGAAGATCCTAAATAGCCGATCACAACTTTGTACGGACGGCCTCTCTTTAACTTGTACGGACGGCCTTGTACGGACACGGTGTAGAAGAGTTCTGATCGGTTGTGCAACCGATTGGCATAACCGATTGGAAGACCAATGAGGTTCCGATCGGTTGTGCAACCGATTGGCACAACCGAGCGGCAATGCACACACCCTTTCCTTCACCGTACGGACGAGTGGCTCTGATCGGTTGTGCAACCGATCAGACCAACCGATTGGAAGTGCGGATGGATCTTTCTCTTCACTTGGTTCAATAATGTCTCTATAGCATATTGCATATTGGATGTGTTTCAGGTATTTGGAGCTTATTTGGGACTTAATGGATGCAAAGAAGAGAATTGATGATTCAGAGCCAGTCTGAAGTCCCTCAAAGATCGACTCAGATGGAAGTCTTGCATTGCGATTTAGCTTCAGAGCTCTTCATACAAGTTATAGGAAATTTAGTTACCTTTCCAACGGAGGTGATTTCAAGCGAATCAGAGCTTTGATGCAAGAGTTATGGTGGTTTTAATGGAGACATATGCAGAAAACTGGTTGGACTCGATAGGAGGTCGAGCAGGCGCTCAGAAACCACCAAGGGTTCGACTCGACCACACCAACTCGACGTGAGGTCGAGTAGGACACCATCAAGGAGCACCCTTTGAAGAATCACTCCCCCTCGACCACATGGACTCGACGACACGTCGAGTAGGACGTCAGGAAGCTGTCTGGACACGGACTCGACCACGCAGGCTCGACGTCACGTCGAGTTGGTCTCCGCCGACTCTCTATTTTGTCTTGTAGCTAATTAGGGCAACCTAGTATTTCCTATAAATAGGGGTACACCCTTTTATCCAGCGGATATTCCTTTTACCCAGCAGATATTCCGCTGTTCTCTCATAAACCCTAGTTTTTGTAATCGTTTTTCCTGTTGATCCGTTGAGTTTTTGCATTTCTTTTCTTCATCAAAGTTGTAGATCTGTCTCTTATCTATATGATACTTGCTTTTCAATGATTTCTGGGTTTGAAACATTTTCTTGGTTTTTATGCATGATGTTCTTCAGTGTTCTTGAGTAGTGGATTAGGGTTCTTGAGGATGGGATAGATTAGGTGTGGAATCCTTAGTATATTTAGGTGGTTAAGTGTAGAATTGCTTGATTTCCCTTCTGGTTTAGTAGATCTTAATGCTATTTCCTCTCTGATCAATTGGAAGTTGATCTCAGATATTTCCACACCCAAAAGGTGTTTGATGAAATGTCTGAACCAACTATTCCAGAGATTTGCATACTCTAGCCCAAGAGATTGGATGTTTAGAATGCTTATTGACTTTATTAGATTGAATCATAATGCCTGCTAGGTTATATTTCTTCAATGAGAATTGAGTATGAAAGTGATTTAGCTTGAGAATCTCTGTCACGAGAGTGGATTGATTTGTATTCGAATCTATTGTCTAGGGATAGCTTGATTGAGTTTGTTAACCACCTAGATAAACTAAGGAGACTGCTATAATCGATTACCCCATTCCTCAGGACTCTTTATCTCTATTGATTGCTTGATTATCGTTTCTATTAGATTTTGTGTTCTACTCGACCTGCTTGCTTATTACTGCTTAGTTTTGATAGTCATTTCTCTTTATGCATGTTCATTCATGTTCTATAGCTTTATCGTTTTTATGCATGTTCGCTTAGGATTGTTAGATAAACAACCATCTTTTCTGCTTGGCTTGACTTAGTATTCTTTGAGCATATCTTGATTGATAGTAAGAGCACCTGATTGGATTGATAACCTCTTATACTGCAATGACATGAAAGTTTATTAGGGTAATTGATAGCAAAATCCTAGTATCAATTTGGCGCCGTTGCCATTTGGGTGTCTGCTTGTTACATTTGAGATTTCTGACTTGCTTAGATCAAGTTCTTATCTACTTTACTTTGCTTAATGACTTGCTGGATTTTGCTCTGTCTGTCTGTTTAAGGTCTTTGTCATGCATTACAATGATTTGCCAGAAGAAGAGGAGGACATCTTTGGAGACAACATTCAAGATGAGGAATATGTGGAGCCACAATTAGATGAGAATGTTCTTACATTGGAACAAAAAGTGAAGTTGGATGAGCTTTACAAGGAAAATCCAACATTGACGAGGAGTGACTTAGCGGCTTTGATTCGGTTGAACCTCTTATCATTGCGGGCAGCACTTGAAGGAAGGGAACTCACATTCTATGAGATTAGAGAAGCTCATGCCCTTGAAAAGGTAATATATTGGGTTCCACCAAGTGAACTAGAAGGTACATGCAATTCAACCTTTGAAATTTATGATTTTGAAGATATCTGATATCTCTATATTTTACCTCTTTTTAGCACACATTTCTTATGCATTTAGCTTAGTTTCCTCTCTGTTTCACTGCATTAATAGTCCTTTTTCATAAGATTTTCATCACTTAGTACGATTTGCATTGCATGGCATAGCATGTTGCATATTGGATGAGTTTTAGGTACTTTGGAGCTTACTTGGGACTTAATGGAGCAAGGAGGAACCAACACGACCTTTGTGCTAGACTTGGGATCGAATTGGAGAGGATTGAAGTCGTTCAAGATCACCTGGGAGCAGTCTCGACCAGACAGGCTCAACGTCACGTCGAGATAGACGCCAAGAAGCAGCCTGGGAGCAGTCTCGACCAGACAGGCTCGACGTCACGTCGAGATGGACGCCAAGAAGCAGCCTGGAGCAGTCTCGACGTGGCAGGCTCGACGACACGTCGAGATGGACTCCACCGACTCTCTATTTTCTCCTGTAGCCAATTAGGGCAACCTAGTATTTCCTATAAATAGGGGTACATGCTATTGTCCAGGGGATATCCATATTACCCAGCAGATATTCTTCTTTTCTCTCATAAACCCTAGTTTTTGTAATCGTTTTTCCTGTTGATCCTTTGAGTTTTTGAATTTCGTTTCTTCATCAAAGTTGTAGATCTGCCTCTTATCTATAACATACTTGCTTTTTAATGATTTCTGGGTTTGAAACGTTTTCTGGGTTTTTATGCATGATGTTCTTCAGTGTTCTTGAATAGTGGATTAGGGTTCTTGAGGATGGGATAGATTAGGTGTGGAATCCTTAGTATATTTAGGTGGTTAAGTGTAGAATTGCTTGATTTCCCTTCTGGTTTAGTAGATCTTAATGCTATTTCCTCTCTGATCAATTGGAAGTTGATCTCAGACATTTCCACACCCAAAAGGTGTTTGATGAAATGTCTGAACCAACTATTCCAGAGATTTGCATACTCTAGCCCAAGAGATTGGATGTTTAGAATGCTTATTGACTCTATTAGATTGAATCTTAATGCCTGCTAGGTTATATTTCTTCAATGAGAATTGAGTATGAAAGTGATTTAGCTTGAGAATCTCTGTCACGAGAGTGGATTGATTTGTATTCGAATCTATTGTCTAGGGATAGCTTGATTGAGTTTGTTAGCCACCTAGGTAGACTAAGGAGACTGCCATAATCGATTACCCCATTCCTCAGGACCTTTTATCTCTATTGATTGTTTAAATCTTGTTTCTGTTAGTCTCTGTTGACCATCTCGACCTGTTAGGCCTAGATCGTTTCTCTGCATTGTTAGGTTGCTAGTTTCTTTTCCAAAGCTTATGCATGATAGTTTCTGGTCTTTAGTTTACTTCTTATTCTTGTTCACTTGCTGTTTAGTTCTCTTTTTATGCTTTTAAATCTGGTATTTGCATGTTAAATTGGTTGCTTAGGATCAATAGAAACACACAAAACCCTTTCACAATTGGCTTGACTTATTTGCTTTCTGTTTCATATCTTGAATGCTTGCAGTCACACTGAGATTGGATTGATAACCTAATATACTACAATGGCATGTGTATTAGGGATTGATACTTGTTAGATAAAGTGAAATCTTACTATCAATTTAGCGCCGTTGCCAGTCTTGTGTTGCATTGTTCCATTTAAGATTTCAGAAACGTTTAAGATCAAGTTCTTTCTTTACCTTGGTTACAAACTCTTCCTTTCATCTGCTTGTTTTTGTGCTCCAGGTACCATCTCGACGACACGTCGAGACAGCCACATCGAGTCTGCCACTCTGCATTGTTAGGGACCATCTCGACCTCACGTCGAGACTGCCACATCGAGTCTGCCACTCTGCATTGTTAGGGACCATCTCGACCTCACGTCGAGACTGCCACATCGAGTCTGACCACTCTGCATGCAAACTCGATCTAAAGGCTCCAACAACCTCATCAGCTACAAAGACAACATCAACCAGTTAGCTCGTGAGTTAAGAGAAGGTAGAGCCCGAGACAACTGTGAACCGCACAATCCAGTAGCCATGGAACCACAAGATCAAGACAATCAAGGAGTTGGGATACCAAGGAACATTGGTGCTGGGGATGCACCAAGAAACCATCAACAGAGACAGGGCATAGTTCCACCTCCTGTCCAGAACAACAATTTCGAGATCAAGAGTGGATTGATCTCAATGATACAAGGAAACAAGTTTCATGGGTTGCCTATGGAGGATCCCTTAGACCACTTGGATAACTTTGAGAGGCTCTGCAGCCTCACCAAGATAAATGGTGTTAGTGAAGACGGTTTCAAGCTGCGTCTGTTTCCCTTCTCGCTGGGAGACAAAGCACACCAATGGGAGAAGACACTACCTCCTGACTCCATAACATCTTGGGACGATTGTAAGACGGCCTTCTTGACAAAGTTCTTCTCAAATTCAAGAACTGCAAGGCTAAGGAATGAAATCTCCAGTTTCACCCAGAAACAGTCTGAATCCTTTTGTGAGGCCTGGGAGAGATTCAAAGGCTACACTACACAATGTCCACATCACGGTTTCAAGAAAGCTTCTTTGCTCAGTACACTCTACAGAAGAGCTCTGCCCAAGTTCAGAATGGTCCTGGACACTGCTTCAAATGGGAATTTCTTGAATAAGGATGTTGAAGAAGGTTGGGAATTGGTTGAGAACTTAGCTCAGTCCGACGGTAATTATAATGAAGATTTTGATCGCTCCAACAGAGTATTGGA